TCCAAAGAAGGGCGACTAAACTGGTCAATGGTCTGGAAAATAAAACTTATGAGGAGCGGCTGAGGGAGTTGGGGCTGTTTAGCCTGGAGAAGAGGAGGCTGAGGGGGGACCCTGCCTACAAATACTTGAGAAGGGATGGTGGGGAGGTGGGGGAAGGGCTCTTTACATTAGTGTTGGGTGATAGAACAAGAGGAAATGGGTATAAGCTTAGTCAGGGGAGATTCAGGTTGGATGTTAGAAAGTATTTCTTCTCTGAAAGGGTTGTCAGCCACTGGAATAGGCTGCCCAGGGAGGTGGTTGAGTCCCCATCCCTGGATGTGGTTAAGAATAGGGTGGATGAACTACTTAGGGATATGGTTTAATGGGGGATTAGGGACGGTTGGACTCGATGATCTCTAAGGTCTTTTCCAACCTAGAAATCTTGGAATCTATGAATTTTACAGGTCCTGCTTGTCGGTGCTGAGAATAAAGTTTTGAAGAGTGAGGCAATAAGATCATGTTGATAATGCTGAGTAGGTTACCTCAGGTAATGATATCGGCAAGTTTTGCCAGTCGATATCTGCTTGCAAAGTCCACGTGCTTTGAAGCTTCTATACAATCATCTGTTTCTGTTTTTTTATCTGTGGAACATTTAAACTGGTTAGTTATAGCAGCTAGTAGCTGAAGCACTGACACTGCAGACTCTGGGAGCATGCCATTGCCATGCTTCATGTTTGGAACATCTCATTTTCTTCTGGAAGAACTGCTAGTGAGAATTTGCATTTGACGGTTAATTTCTGTGGAAATAATGACGTATCACTCCATGTTTGCTGGAGGAAGTCCCAAGTTCCTCTGATGACTAAAAAGAACTTTCAAACTTGCATTTCTTGTGTGTGGGTGTGCTTTTTACAGCTATAAATTTCTCATTTGTGCCATGGAGACAAACTTCATTGATCTCTTTTCACTGTACTGAGTAAGAAATGTCAGAGCAAGAAGAAATTTAAATGTTTCCCACCTTTTTGCTGTTCTTTTATAGCTGTTTCTGCAGTGAAGTATTTGATGGTGCAGGAACCATTGATTACAGGCTTAAAATGTTTGCTGCAGAATTCCAGAATTGATCTGTGTTGCTTTGTAGCTAGTGATGTACTAGAAAGTTTCAGTTTATGCTCTCAAGAAACGTCTCTCTGTCAAAAATCAGCTTTAAACAAGGAAGAAAATACTTTCTGTATTTTTAAAGTTCCATTTTTGGCTCCTGTAGTGAAGGAGCTGGTGAAGTGGAACAACAACACGTTTGACCTTTCTTTCTCTGACTTGGTTTCTCTGCTACACAAGCGTCCTGGCGGTTAATGATCTCAAGACCATCTTGTCTGCCAAATTTTCATCTTTTCCTGTACTTGGTAGCTGTTCACTAAAAGATTTGAGTTGGCAAGTAAAACAGGTAGGCGTAATAAATCAGGCTGTATAGGTTATGTTAGGTTTTCAGACTGTACTTTGTATCACTTAGCTTGTGTTTTCTTTACAGGGTTTTGTGTTTTCTCTTAAAAAAGGTAGAGGGATTGGGAAAAGTGTGTTTTGGATATCTGTGTACTTTCTGTTTAGACTGAAGGTGTTAAGTGGCTGGGAGTACTTCATAGTAAAGTTCTGTAGATTTTGGATTCAGTAATATCACTAGTAAGTGCTTGATGGTATACTTAAAATAGAAAAATCAACATTTATACAGGTGATAATGTTCTATTATGACCTGATAAGACTAGGGAATTATTTTTTTCCTACTTCTTTGAACTGTTATTTCCACTTCCAGTGTTTGGATTTAATTGCTACGGTAAATAAGTTAGTTTTTTTAAAAATAATTTCATGTCTTCCTTGTGTCCTATTTCCTATTATCAAAATTGATACAGAGTACTTGATAGATGAGGAGAATATTTTTATTGTTCAAAATAATCATAGGATCATAGAATGGTTAGGGCTGGAAGGGACCTTCAGAGGTCATCTAGTCCAACCCCCCTGCAAGGAACAGGGATATCTCCAACTAGATCAGGTTGCTCAGGGCCTCGTCCAACCTGGCCTTGAACGTCTCCAGGGATGGAGCATCCACCACCTCTCTGGGCAACCTGTTCCAGTGTTCTACAACTCTCATGGTAAAAAATTTTTTCCTAATATCCAATCTGAATCTACCTCCCTCTATTTTAAAACCATTACCCCTTGTCCTATCACAACTGGCCCTCCTGAACAGCCTCTCCCCATCTTTCTTGTAGGCCCTCTTGAGGTACTAGAAGACCGCTATAAGGTCACCCCGGAGCCTCCTCTTCTCCAGGCTGAACAGCCCCAACTCTTTCAGCCTGTCCTCATAGGAAAGGTGCTCCAGCCCTCTTATCATCTTCGTGGCCCTCCTCTGGACCCTCTCCAACTGGTCCATGTCCTTCTTATGTTGGGGGTTCCAGAACTGGACGCAATACTCCAAGTGAGGTCTCACGAGGGCAGAGTAGAGGGGGAGAATCACCTCTCTTGACCTGCTGGCCACGTTCCTCTTGATGCAGCCCAGGATGCGGTTGGCCTTCTGGGCCGCAAGAGCACATTGCCGGCTCATATTGAGCTTCTCGTCCACCAGCACTCCCAAGTCCTTCTCCTCAGGGCTGCTCTCGATCCATTCTCCACCCAGTCTGTATTTGTGCCTGGGATTGCCACGACCCAGATGTAGGACCTTGCATTTGGCCTGGTTGAACTTCATGAGGTTGGCATGGGCCCACCTCTCTAGACTGTCGAGGTCCCTCTGGATGGCATCCCTCCCTTCCAGCGTGTTGACGGCACCACACAGCTTGGTGTCATCGGCAAACTTGCTGAGGGTGCACTCCATGCCACTGTCCACGTCACCGACAAAGATGTTGAAGAGGGCCGGGCCCAACACGGACCCCTGAGGGACGCATAATGCCCAATCGTAACATTTGCTTTGAAAAGCTTTGTGTGTGTTTGTTTTTTCTTACAGATCAGGGAAACTGGCGAAAGACCCAGTAATGAGGAGATCTTAAGGTTCTCTAAACTGTTTGAAGATGAGTTAACTCTGGACAATCTAACCAGGCCTCAGTTGGTGGCACTTTGTAAATTGTTGGAACTTCAGTCAATTGGGACAAATAACTTTCTCCGCTTCCAGCTGACTATGAGGTTGAGAAGCATAAAAGCAGATGACAAAGTGAGTTGTTCTAAATAGGCACTGGTTAATAATTTTGACATATAAGAGTAATGAGCATGTATATATAGATGTATGTCTTTCTAGGCATTGTCCTTTGTCTTAATTGCCTTATTTTTGAGCTAACTGAGAATGAAAAGGCTTGAAGAACTTAAAATCAGAAGTGTCCTTATTTTCAAAGAAAGAACCGACCTTTTTTAATCTACTATTAATTGCAATGAAAGTAATTACGTTACAAAGAAAAGCATTTCTATGAAACTGTGATTCGTAAGGGAGTTGATAGAAATGTTAAACTTAGAGAGAGATTGACATTACCATTATGGAGCTGTTAAGAATACAGTATAACGTCCACTGTTTAAAAAGTGGAGGCTGTTTAGTGTTATCACAGCAGCCTCTAGTGGCTGTTGTAAAAATGCAGACTTGTGGGTGTGCATCGGTGGTGGTTCTTCAGTTTTGAGCCGTTACATGTTAAAATTTATTTTGCACTTTCTGCAGCTGATTGCTGAAGAAGGAGTTGATAGCCTGACTGTTAAAGAGCTTCAGGCAGCTTGTCGTGCCCGAGGTATGAGAGCTCTTGGTGTGACAGAGGAACGTCTCAGGGAACAGCTGAAACAGGTATGGTTTTGCGAGACTGAATACACAGACCTAACTTCACTTGCTAGCTCTGATTTTTGGTATGATTCTGAGAAGTCATGTTGCTCTGTTCTCATTAAAGACTTGGCTAAAACAGCCTTTCTCCTTAATAAGCTTTTGTCATGTGTCAAAACGTAAGTATGTAGTAGCAATGGGTTTCTGGCTTTTGACTGGGCCGTGATGCTTTGGTGATGCAAATAGATACTTAAAAATATCCAAAATACGTTTGAAATTTTGACAGTTTGTCTTGTTAATGATTTCTGTTACTCTGTAAAGAACTTTTCTCCAAGTAAATCAGTTCTTTGCCCTTTGGTATTGCCTGGTTTAGAGGAAAATGTGTGTGAAACAAAAAAATATTCGTTCGATACCTCTTGAAATACTTCTTCAAACAAAATACTGCTTCTTATCTTTCAGTGCAATTGCTGTAATTTTTAGCTCTTATAGCCTGTAGTTCCTGTGCTAGGATATTGACTGATAAGTAGTGATAAAAAAATTAGCATTTACTTTTTTGTGTGTGCTTGATTTATCTGTAAAAAAGAAAAATAGTCCAAGGTTGAAGATTTGTTTTGTCTTGCATTTATAGTGGTTAGATCTACACCTGAACCAGGAAATCCCTACTTCGTTGCTCATTTTATCCAGAGCCATGTATCTTCCAGATACCCTTTCTCCAGCTGATCAGCTCAAAACAACGCTTCAGACACTACCCGATAGCGTTGTAAGTATTGATGTACATAGCTTGTAACCAGCTTTCAGTATCGTCACTGTAAATCCATTTAGAGAAATAGATATTCTTTTTGGTTCCGTTCTTTTCCTTGAAAAGCTAAGCCATAGATAGTTTTATTTGAGTAACCTTCAAACAGAAAGAGTTGACTTGTATGTGGAGGAGTCTTGAGAATAAAGCAAATAAAAGGCAATGTTTCGTTGCATGATGGTAGACAGGAATAGCAGAAGAAGTTTTAGAATACACTTTTTACTGATATAAAAAACAATCTATGCTTCAGGCAATAGAAAGACATTAATATGTTGAAAATGCTGATGATGTTATGTAGATAGAGAAATGATCTCAGTAGATTATTGGGAGTCTTGAAAGAAAGAGAATAAAGAACACGTACGATTTCAGGGTGGAAACTTCTCATTTACGAACAAAGAGAATCATCTTTTTCTGAGAAATGCAAAAATAGGGTAACTTTTGAGAGTTTTAACTATATTCATTAGCATACCGGTACTATCTATCTCAATAAAGATGTATAAATGTATAACATTATGTAGACATACATATATACACACACACACACACACACATAGAGACTTTAATAGATTTCTTACATTATTTTTAGGCCAAAGAGGCTCAAGTCAAAGTGGCAGAAGTTGAAGGTGAAAAGGTAGATAACAAAGCACGACTGGAAGCAACACTTCAGGAGGAGGAAGCCATCAGAAAAGAAAATGAAGAAAAAGAGATGGAAAGAATTTCTGAAGCTGCAGAAAAAGCCAAAGAACCCCTTCAAGTTGCAGCTGTGGTAAGTTCTGCTCTCAACTGTTGAGAAATAAATGTCAGTGGTCTAAAAACTAGCATGTTTTGAGGTACTGTGTCTGCTCTGGATGTTGCCTGCAAGAAACTGACCTTTAAATTCACATATGGAAGATGTGGGAGAATATTAAAAGACTGCAATGCGGAAGGGTTCACTGTGAAACAGGAAAGATTGTCTCAGTCTTATGTATCTTTGATTTCTCTTTCCTCTTAATTGGAGTAATAAGAGGAGCCTTTTGTTCCTCGAGGAAAGGTGGTGGTTTAAATCTTCTTATCTTTGGCTCTTTCTATTTGTCATTAACTGATAATGTCATTGTATGATACTTGACTACAAAAGCTGCTGGCCTGCTTTACTGGTGAATTAAGCCTCAGGAGCTCATAGGCATAGTTCACTAAGTGCGGGTGGGTATTTTAGTGTGACACCACTCAGTATGTTGCAGTTTTTTAACGTTGTCTTCTCATAAAAATGTCTGCGTCTATTTTGGCAACTATCTCCATTTTGAGAAGTCATTCTTTACTGATGCTAATACAGATAATGTTACCTTTGTTTTAATTAAAACTTTGTGGGTCTCTCAAATTTAGAAAGAGGTGGAGTCAGTAGTAGATCTTGAAGCAGCTACTCTGCAAGCTAAAAAAAGTCAGATGGCTATGGATGCTGAACAGGAAGTGGCAAGGGCAGATACGGCAATGCACTCGGAGACGCTGAAAGATACAGCACCGGTATTGGAAGGCATTAAGGTAATCTGGATAACTGTACGTTTTTATACTTTTCGATGTAAAGATTCAAAACATCCATGTAAGAGCCATGATAAGTTGCCTAGACATCCTTCAGTTTTAACCCTCTCACCACATTCTGTCAGTTAAAACCAGCTGATTAGTAGATTGCAAATTCTTAACCACCAATGCAGAAATTGATGCTGGCACAAAACGTCTCTTGAGTATCTCCTTTATCTTCTTTGTTATTGATACTAATATACCTATTCTGGGGGACGTTTGCACTGGCTGTAGACCTAATGAATCTGTCCATGTTCAATCTGTGCATAGTTAACACATGAAGATGGAGAAGGCAAGAGTAGGTAAAGGTGAGTGTTCCTTTCGTTTGAAGGATGTAGCTAAGACCAAAGGACTAAGTAAGGAACTAGATTTGGACTTGACTGTACTAGATTTGTATTGACTTCCTCTTCAAAACTGATATGTGCAGTATGTATACACTGTAAAACTTTTTAGCATACTCTTTCACTATTTCTTTAGTATGATGTTGAACGTATTTTATAGCCCTGTTAAAGTAACAGGTTAATTTCTAGGATTAGCATGCTTTGTTAGTCAGAGCATGCTGTTTTTAACCATTTGCTACCTGACTGGCCTGTAGCTCCCCAAATTCTCCTCCTTGCACTTGCTGAAGATAGGAGTGACATCTGCTTTCTTCCAGTCCTCAGGAATCTTCCCTTATGACTATGTCCTTTCAAAGATAATCAAGAGTGGCCTCTCAGTGACATCAAACAACTCCCTCAGCACTTGTGGTTGTATCCCAATAAGTCTCATGCATTTCTGTGCGTTCAGTTTGTTTAAATGTTCTCCAACCTGATGCTCCTTCACTGACAGTAGATTCTCCTTGCTCCAGACTTCCCCACTGGTCTCAAAGACCTGGGATTCCTGAATGCCAGCCTCACTAGTAAAAACTGAAGAAGGCATTGACTACCTCTGCCTTTTCTATGTCCTTTTACACCAGGTTCCTTGTCCCGTTCAGCAGCAGGCCTACATTTTCTCGTGTCTTCCTTTTGCTCCCAGCGTACTTGTAGAAGCCCTTCTTGTTGCCCTTCACCAGATTTAACTCCAAGTGGGCCTTCACTTTCCTGAACTCATGTCTGTACACTTGGACAGTGTCTCTGTATTCTTTCTGGGTCACCAATCCCTGGTTCAACCTCTTGTATGCCTTTTTTTAATTTCCAGTTGTACCCCGAGTTTTATTTGTAGCTGAGCATTTTATTCTTGTCCATAAGGTTTGATGTCAGGATTTTTCGAAGCCCTAGTGTTACTTTGCAGAAAAACAACTTTAATTTAAAATCGATGGCTTAGGTAGAAAAATATTTTCTGTTTTCCTGGACAGCATCATTATCTACCTGCTATTGTTGTAACATTGTATAGTTTAGAATGCTGCCAAGGTTTTAATGATAATAACAAAATGGAACTAATCCATGTTGAAATCATACGTTTTAGTGTGATGAGTTAGCTGACTCCTGACTGTAACTGGATGCATGATAGTGGAGCCACGAGGAATGCCATGGGAGGGAGGCAGGCGAGGCTGGGATGATCTCGTTTGGAGACAGCAAGGATGTGTGCCGTAGCAGCTAGTTTACACTGCCACATCTGGCATTGTGTTCCTGCCGTGCCACCAGCATTGTGGGAGTGTGTAACACTGGGCCACAAGGACTTCCTCAAGAGCCCTAACTGATAGGAGAAAACAAGAAGTTAGTGTGGCGTTTCTTAACCAAGGTTGCAGTGTGGCCTGTCCCCTAAAGATGCTTCCGAAGATTTTAAACACTGTGGAATACATTCTTGCCTCTTATGGGAAAAATGTAAGACTGCCAGCTTCTTGAAGGTGACTGATTTTATTTGAGGCAGAGGAATTTGTTTTTCAAACTGAGTTGCTTTTTTTTTTTTGTAAGATGAGCTGTAGATACTATATTAAAATCAGAAGTGAGGTTGATGACTAGATACTAATAGGACACTTAAACTCGTTCTGAGTTGACAAAGGGACTGAGTGCCTAGCTTGTGAACTGTTCCGTAGTTGTTTCTTGGAAACATACCATCATTCTGCTCTGTGTTTCTGGCATCCTGGTTTGCACGTGTCTTTCTATACTCTACTTAGGTGGCTGTTCAGAGTTTAGTCATTCACAATAAAAACTGGTGTCTGGGTAAGATTAATATGCGAACTGCAGCTAGTATTACGAGATTTTAAGATTTTAAATGAATCATCTTGAAGTCTTATATTTCAAGTATTCAATTGGGAGTTAGATTTTTATTCTCAGCTTTGTAGGAGACAAGTATAACTCAAACTATGGATGTTCATTCTCATTTTTACAAAGGTTGTTGAAGATAACTTTGCTCTGCAAAATGTTACGTAATGTATCTTTCCTATACATAGTGAATCGTTTCTCAGTTGTTTCGATTTTTCACACAGCAAAGAAGGAACTAAAACATTCTTAAATGAGATGACTAGGTACAGAATTTCAAATAGCCAAAACCCATGTGATCAATCACATTAGCTGAATTTACTACTGATGCACTTGAAAAGTATGTACCATAGCTGACTAATTGCCTTAGCATTTAAGATTTCGGCATTAGCTTCAAAATGCACATTTCTACATTAGCCTCAAAGTGCCAGTCTGTACAATGTGGGCTCCAAATATGGGAAAAGAATCTTGAGTCTGTCTTCTTCCGGTAAAAGACTCAAAATCTTTGAGGAAAATCACAAATATGTCTTTCTCTAATTTGTATGTGTTTTCCGTTACAGGGTGAGGAAATCACTAAGGAGGAGATTGACATGCTGAGTGATGCTTGCACCAAGCTGCAGGAACAGAAAAAATCACTAACAAAGGAAAAGGAGGAGCTTGAGGAATTGAAGGGCGATATCCAGGAGTATAATGAGGTGAAGAATGGGACATGCAAGTTTGGCGGGTTTTTATTTGTTTGTGTTTAGTTTTAGCATAAAGGCTCCACAAAGTTAAATATTATCTTTCTTGGTTGTCTGTTAGCCTGTAGCTGGTAGCTGAGTGAATGAGCTTTGTACTATTTTACAATACAATGCAGAGCCTTGTTTGTAGAACATGTTTAAAGCCGAGTTAAAATCATTGGAGTAGTTCCCACCAGATGAGAATTCTGTTCCTACTCTTATTCCCAGGGTGACTAGGCTAATAGATGCTGACTAACTGCTGTATGCTGCAGTTCTTTCTTACCAAGCATAGATATCAGTGTTACAGGTATTCCAGGTAAAATGAATCTTATCCAATCTTATGAAAGATGTGGAAAATAACAAGAGGTGCATTAAAATGGCTGCAGTGTTAGGATTTATTGTTCTAATTCCAGTTTGGTTTTATATTTCTTAATGTACATTTGCATTTCATTTACAAATGGTTCCTGTCATGAAATGCTAGTCTGTCAGTAGCGTCTGTTGTTGAGAATTGGCGCCAGCAAAAGCTTCTCTCTCTCTTGACCATTTCTTTTAGGATTTGCAAGAGATAAAAGAGCTCTCTAAAACTGGCCAGGAAGAGGTAGTGGAGGAGTCAAAGGCAAGCAAGCGATTGACCAAGAGAGTGAACCGAATGGTTGGTCAAATAGACAAAATTATTGATGAATTAGAGACAAGTCAAAAGACAGTGGATGTAAAGCTGGACAGTGGTGGTAGTCCTCCTGCTGGGTAAGTGACTTGAGAGCACTGAATGTGTCTCTGTCTTCAGTCTTGCTTTTGTCTGATGTGTGATTAGAAAAGAATTGCTGAAGAAGTTGATTAGAATGCTAAGATAATTTAATTCAAAACTAAAATTAACAAAATTGTGCTGTAGATTTTCTCTCTTATTAGGTGTTTTTAATACGGTTGGAATGAGGAAGGAAAAAAGCAGGTATAATTCCCCAGATGTTAGTCCTGAGGGGGTTCTGAAAGTCAAAGTGTCAAGTAGTATCTTACCATCTTGTTCAGGCCTGTAGCACTAACGGTGATGGAGATGAAATGATGCCTTTAGTCATGCTCCTCATGTAGTAGCATTGATTGAAATGCTCCTCCTATGTCATTGATTGAAAAGGTGCACAATAGTATGTCAAGCATATTCATATTTGTTGTTCTTTAGTACTGAAGGTGTCAGTGGGGAGAGAAAATTGCAATAAAGTCTATTCTGTCTCTGGAGAGAAATGGGGGAACAAATCTAATGGAAGTAAGGAGATAATTATACATGGTCCCTTTCTGAAAGATTGCTTCATTTCAACTGACACTTGCAGATTTTCAAAGATAGATCTTTCTTGATACTTTCATTGCAAAATTCATTTATCAACACTTATATGTTGAATGGTCATATGTTGCATGTTATGGGCACTGAAACGCCTAAGAACTGTGACTGTAATGCTCACAGTTTATGATTATGAATGCTCTATTAATCAAGTTTATGCATGCACCATTTTGTGTGCTTCATTAAGAGAGCTTCCCAGCTCCCATAGAGCATAACCTAAACAGAAATAAGGATTGTGCTTTTGTTGCTTCCAGACTTTGTTTTTTCCAGTCCCCAGGGCAAACGGTCATTTGTTTCAGATTGTATGTAATAAGATTAAGGGGGGTCATATGAATGGTGCTATAAAGAAGCTGTTGATCAAAACCATCTGAATCTGTAAATTAAAAATACAATATACCATCTGCTTGTACTGAATGTAGTTATACTTTATGCAATGAATGGTTTTGTGGATAATTTTGTAGGTGATTGTGGATGACTTAAAATTATTCGCCTAAATATTGCTTAATTGTCAAAGGCTTGGGTTTTAACCTTCAAATTAGTGCCGTTATTAGCAAGCCATCAAGAGTCATAGAAACAACAGAAGTCCAGGACGTTTAGTGGCAGCTTGAGAAATGCTCCTTGAAAAAAAGTCAGTCTGTGCCCAGAGGTTAGGGACAGGTATGGAGCTGGGACTATACTGATAGAGCCCTTCAGTTTTCACTGCCTCCTGCATTTCAGTTTGACCTGTGCATGGAAGATGGTTCTTCAAACTAACAAAACTACATAGGCAAGCAGAGGCTTTAGGTTGCAGAAGACAGACAACTTTAGCTTCGTAAGATGAGTAAGCAGACAGTGGAAACATTTGAAATATGCTAGTTATGATGTCAAGTTTAGTCCTTTCCTCTACAAAGTCTATTCCGTGACTGAGCAAATGAAGCCTGTTCTAACAAAACAGCTAAATTGCTAAAGCAATTAGTTCTCAGCTTTTATTTTGCCATGACTTTCATTAATTTTGTGTAGGCCAGCCTCTCTAAATCTAAAGGGATGACAGGTGCACAGTACTGCATCTTTGGTAAATAGCGGGGGAGCAAAGGGTGTTAGATACAGTCTGGGAAGCACAGAAACTGTGCTAAACTTTATTTCAAACGCTACTGGATGCCTGTATTTGTGCAGTAAAGCACATGGAAACCAAAAGTGTGAGATTTGATGGTAAGATAAAGATTCATTTGAAATCTGCTTGCTGATCAGTAACTCATTTTTGCTTTTTTATGTTCTGTTCAGCATTATAAATAAATAAATAATGTTGTTAGAAATGACCTGCAGTGTAGTGACTTTCAGTACTGCCTTTTGTCAACTTTACTCCTTTGGAGTAACTGCTTGCCATGTACAGATTGTGCTTCCTCTTCAGGGAGAATCTCATCAGTATTGCTGAGCTAATTAATGCTATGAAACAAATTCAGAAGATTCCAGAGGAGAAGCTAACTAGGATTGCAGAGGCACTAGATGAAAACAAGGATGGCAAAATTGATATAGATAATGTTGTTAAGGTAAGTCTGTGGACTGGGTAAAAAAAGTAATTCTAGTCATCCTTCAAACATTGTATCTGTGTTGACTTAAATTGTTATTGCTGTCTTTTGCAAGAGTCTTAGCTTGATGCCAGTGAAGTTTTTGGTAATGTATTGTAAATTGATCTTATAATACATATTAGCATCTTCAGAATTTATACGGCTATTTTTGAGGGGAAAAAGAAAAAAAATTAGCCTGTGTCTGTTACCCACGTTACGTTTAAAGCTGTAGGTTTTCCCATATGCATATGTCAAGTTCCATAAAGTATGGTAATTTTGTTGTGTGACTTACAGGTGGGAGGGAGGATGGGAAGGAGCTTTAGAAGAACAACTTTAGGAATACCAGTATTAGCCAAAGTCTTGACATAATTTGTATAGATATACTTTATGTCAACACAAGGTAATAGCTTCTCTTGCCTACTTGTATACCTTAGATATTTCATTGAGATCTGTATTTCCTATACTTGAAAGACATCATACCATTGGTTGTCCTTTAGGTCTGTTGTAAATGACTTGTGTTCTTTGCCTGATTTGTCCTGTTTTCTCATTTTGAGGAATGTTCTCAGATTTTTCCTGTTTTTCCTTCATTTTCTTGTTTCTTTTTTACCTGCTGTATTTAGAGATGTCCTGAAACTTAACTTCCTTGCAAGTAATTTTCCAACTCAATACAGAAATAGTGCTTAAAGTTAGGACACTGTGACCAGCTAGAAAATCCAGTATCAGCCTTTTGAAACACATTTTTCCTCTCTACTGAAGTTGTCCCAGTGGTGATTATCTTCCCTGTTCCTTTCAACAGTGGTTGTACATTTAGCAACAGAGGTAAAACGTACTTCTCAATTTTGCAGAGTAATTCTAGGAACTTGAGCAGCTATGCCAAGAATACATGTGTACAGCAAGCTATGTAAAGGAATTTGGAAGCACCTGCTAAGTTATTTTTTCGTTTTGCTTTCTGAAAGGCCTCCCCCCCCCCAGCTTTTAAGTTTTTGTAAATTTATGCCTATTTAGTGCAGTAGGTCTTTTTGATAAAATTAAGCCTGTAAAATAAGTATTGTCTTAAATACTGTTTCAGTAGATACTGAATCTGAGCTTTCCATTGGAACAGGTATAATAAATGGGTCTGTTTTACTAATGCTTTAAAATGCGACTCTGTGCTGAGGTGAAAAGTTCTACATCATTTGCTCTAAATTTGACAGGGTTTTTTTAATACTCTTGATATTTTTGAGGCACTGGTTGTGGTTTGAATTTGTGTTTTTATGTGGGGAGAAAATACTGTTTTTCTTGAACATGAGAGAACCGATTACTTTTTTATCTTAACAAAATTTATAAGCAAATGCCTCAGTTATGTAAAAATGAAACATTCTGTCAATTTCATTTTATGTTCCTGTAGGTAGTAGAATTGATTGACAAAGAAGACATTGATATTGGCACCAGTCAGGTTGCTGAGATTATGGCACTACTTCAAAAAGAAGAAAAACTGGAAGAAAAAGAGAAAGCAAAGGAAAAGCATGATAAAGAAGCTGCGGAAGCAAAGAATTAAGCTTCAGGATCTGAAGCTAATCCCAGTTGTAACCAAAACCTTGTATATCTTTCTGTGTCTAATGGCTACATATTACTTGAGCTTTTGTGATTATTATGGGAAGTGTTTTGAGCTGACTCTAGTAATAAATTATAAATATGTTTTCTGACGTATGGAATGAAATTTCCGTTCATCAGAGAAGTGATTTACTGTCATTCCATAAAGATGAAAACAAAAGATGCTTCTTTAGCAGTGCTCCTGCCCACAAAATCATGTATTTGCACTCATTGTTGTGGTACAGTGATCCATTAAAATTGCAAGTTTGCTGTATAAATTAAGTGTATCTATCATGGAAAAATATTTCTCATTTATTTCCTTTCATCATTACATGCGGCCCAAGCTTGCTCTGCTTCTATCTTTTAGCTTTTTCAGAATTTAATACAAACTTTCCCTTCTGTCACAATATTACATTTTTTGTAACCTATTAGCGAAGATTCTGTGGCTTCAATAAGAGCTCTTTAGATTGAGTTTTAAGTTAAACATTACTAAGCTGTTGCCTCACTGATGGAGAATGTGGCATTCTAATCACTTTTAAGAATTCATGATGATTATTTTTTTCTGTTGAAGGGAAAATCAGATTTATTTTTCCCTAGAATGAAAACTTCCCATGAAGTTTGCTTCTTATGGGTGCCTTAAATTTCTTAAGACTAGGGAATAGAGAATGTCACTTCTACTCAAAATTCCATGAATTACTAAAGCATTGGAGTCACAGGAGCCTTTCAGTTTCAGAAAACAGTCTGTCACACAGTAGAGTGAGTTAAAGTGTTTGTCTAAATAGCAAAATGAAGATAATCATAAGGGGAAAATGTTAGTTGTGATCTTTTTGCATGCATTTTCTAAAAATGCAGCTATCTTCACATGCTTGTTGGTTTTCGTCTGATAATTATTTACACCATAACTAGTTTTCTGACCTCTTAATTTTCATCTCAGGTATAAAATCACTAACCAAGTATAGTCAAAGTACATAAATACTTTCATCTCATGACCTTGCTTACTGTGTAGTCAACAAGTCATGTCTGCTGTTGCCAGTGCTTTGATTACATCATTGGCTTTCTAATTAATTTATTATAGTTTCTGTCTTTAACTGTGTGATTAAATACTGACAGTAGGTCAAGGTTTATTCAGTAATGTCTGTCCTTAGTAGTAAATTTTTAAGTTTAAAAACTAAAATACCAACTCTGCGGTGTTCCATAATTCCTGATAGCCCAAATTTTTCACTATTTCTTAAAATTTGTTATGAAATACACATAGTGTGACTTGAACCAGCAGGGTTGTGGTTTGGGTTTTTTTATTTTATTTTTATTTTGTACCCAGTATTATAAAATACATGAACATCCTTGATTTTGCATACACTGTAGAGAGCACACCTTACAATGGTGCTGTATACAGTGATATTGAGGTGGGCAGTTAGTACTTAATGCTTTTAGTCATAGTGGCATATTTTTGTAGAAAATGTTGACTCCCAATCATATTTCAGCATAATTCCATGTTCAGTATTTATTCTAGATTGGCTAAATTATTTGTAAAAACTCGTTTGAAGTTAGTGGAACAAAAAAAATATTGACAGTCTCATGGCTTGCGTGATGGACCATTGTATTTACTGTACATCTTGCTTTGGAAACAAGTACAATTAATTCTAGAAAAAGAGTCAGTGTTTAGTTCAAGTATTGAGTTCGTATTCTGTACAGTTTGCAAAGCTGTTTACAGTAAGAACCTCCTGAGAATTGCTGTAATTTTAAGTATAAAATTGCTGTGACAAAGCTGAAATTTCAAATCAGTACAGTCTTTGCAGTTAATGTACCCTTAAGCAAGGGGGCTATTCTCTTCCTTGGAAATTGAGATTAACTTGAAGATTTCAGCATGAAAGTCAGTTTGTAGATTCTGAAGATAAGACTTCACTAGGTGCTTTTTTAGGCCAAAATTTATCTTAGATGAAAATGCAAGAGTAGAACTAATTTCATGAAAATACAGTTTTAAAACTAATTTTACATCGTATGATTTACAATTAGAATTAGTGGGCTTTGAAGTACACGAAGTTTCACAGTTGTATATCTTCAACTTGAAAACAGTGTATAACAATCTTACTTGACATTCCTGAAACATAATACAGATACTCTAAAATCGTCTGCTACCTTTCACAGAACATCAAAAAACGAAGAATTGTATGCACTTGAATGCATGCAAGTTTAAAACAGGAAAGTAGCAGAAAAAGCTGTTTTCAAAGATTTATTGATTAAAGTTCTACAGAGCTTTAACTGTCATTGCAGTAAATTGCCTGATTTTAGTAGCTGGGAGTTTAAGACACTTTGCTGCTGTTCTTTTTCCTTGTGTACTGTTCACTTAAATTTCCTGTGGATTAAATAAGAAGGGAGCCAAAAATAGCTGATTTATTTTTTTTTTAATGAAGAATGTCCTGATTACAACAATTGTGATACGTTTATTGAACATTTTTTAGCTTTTGAACTTGTTTGAAATTTGGCATAATGTGACATTTTAACAGGTTACGTAAAATAAGTTTAAATGTCAATCGCAAATGTCAGTTTTCCCGTTACCTAAAGCATTTCAAGGACGTACGCATCAACCATAGTGAAGCGTTTTCATGGGGAGTATTTTCCTTCTGATGTTGAAAGTAGGCAAACCCGTGACAGCTGGACTTGAACAGCACGTGTTCTGCAAGCTTACAGAGATTAGGACACCCTCGGCCATTCCCGTTTTCCCAATTTTGAACCTTCCCCAGCAGCTCTGTCCAGGCGATACAGACAACTCCAGAAAATCCGTGGCTTGAGGACTAGCTTCAGATAACGGGCTTTGTTGTCTTTCGTGTTGACCAAAAAAGCAGAAGCTGCGTTACCTTCAGAGAAAGGATGACTTCCGAGTGTACAGTAACTGGTCAGAACTTATTCCTGAGTGAGTATTTAATCAGGAGATGTAAATATTTGTTTAAATAATTAAAGGATATGTGAGATTTTGGTGACCTTGTGACTTACACAGGCAGAGCCTCTATGCTCAGAGTTAGGTAGTTGGTAAGACCATTGTTGGAGTTGTTTCAGATTTAAATAAGATCAGATTTTGATTATAAACTATTCGAGGGGGAAAAAAATGTAAAACACAAGCTTTCAAAAAAATCCATTCAGCAACAGGGAAGAGAAGTAAAGTAGGACATCGTTTCTTTTTTTCCCTTCAAAACAAGCAGGTTATAGGACCTATTTTATTGAAAAACTTGTTTCCATTTCTTGTTAGCTCCAAAGATGTTTTTTACTGAGATTTTCGTCACTGACTACATGCTGTGAGAGTAAATCTGCCTGCAAGTTAAGTACTAGAAAGCTAATTTAATAGGTAGTTTGTCAGCAGGACTGCATGCAGGTAGAGAATATTCTCTTGACAGGATAGTACCTTACACTTACATAGGCTTTGTCTGGGGGAAAAGGTTACATCTTTTATACAACTCCAAAATACTTCTTGTAATCTTGTATCTACACACCTTGCCAATCATGTAAACTTTCACTACTTCAGCATGTATTTAAATACTTCAAAATTGTTTATATCAAATTATTGGGTATATTTAATTAAAAAAATAATCCTATGTTATGTTCTTTGTTACGTATTCCAAGTTTTGCTTTTCAGTTAAAGAATTTCAGCCCGTGTTATAAATTTAAGTTGAAAATCGTTTGTCTGCTCTGAGCATACTGGTCCTGTGTTTGCCATAATACAGTATAAAATTTTTAAGTTAATTGGAGCTTGTGTCCTTTGTTTAGTTATAATAAACGTATCATTTTGAAACCTAGTCTCTCTACTATTTTTCTGTTGCTTTCAATTATTTAGTGTTAATTTATTGCTGTTCAGATGAGATGCCAGTCACGGAGCTAGATAGTGATGAACTGAATATTATAACTGCAGTGTTTGGGGTAGAAGAGGGCAAGTGAAAGATAAATCTTTAAACCCAGGCGAGTGGTGGGTTGTGTGGGATTTGGGAGGGTGTTAATTCTTGCAGAAATTCTCTAGATGAAAGTGGGACCGCTTGTCTGGTGTAGTGAACTTTGCTAAACTGTTCTTTCCAACTTACGTTTCAGGTATGAAAGTGGGGGAGCAGTGTATTCAATACTATAAGAAACTAATGGAAAGGTAAATATCTATTGCAAATAGAAATAAGTGCTTAGGAAGGATCTGCGTTTGGTCTTTGTTCAAGTTAGGGGAGAAAACATCTGAAATGGTTCCAGAAATGGATTATTTTATGCCATGCCCTGCCCCTCACCCCTGTTTTTGCAAAATTGTGTATTCCTCTGTAATCGTATTATTCACAAAGTTAATCTCGGTGTACAGCAGACTTTTAAGTCTTGGGCATATAAAATAATACAATTTTTCAATTAAAAGCTGTTCCCTCTGCTCCTGAAGCCTTGGCAGCCTGGGTGGGAAGGCAGAGAGAGGCCGAGCCAGCAAGGTGTCCTGTGCATGGCTGGTCCATTGGAAACAAGTGAGGTACCTCAAACAGGACTTGTATTGCTGCTGTTTCGGAAGCTTTGACGCTCGTCTTGGCCCAGCTGTGGTCAGTGCTTACAGAAATGCAGAGCAAAGATGATGCAGACCTGAGATGTGGAGGTCCTGTTGCCCAAGGCTGCATTGACAGATGTAGCCGCCTGCCTGCTTTCAAATAGGATTTGGGAACATGCAAACATTGAATCTACTTTCTAATGTCACATTATTTCAGCAGATGTTTGAAAACAACCTTTAGCCTTGAGATGCTTTTAGAAGAATTTAATAGATAAGCTAGATTGGGTCGCAGCTTTCCCCCCCCCCCCCCTTTGTTTTTGTTTTTTTGTTTAAAGCCAAATATCAAATAAATGGCTTAAAAAGTGGCAGAATTTGTTGCTTTTTAAGTTTTTGCTTTAAAAATTTCCTTTAACGACAGAGTTATTTAGGGTGAATAGGACTGTTGTGCAGCAGTGTGGTAAAGCAGACTAAGCAGAGAAATTGTGGCTTGGAATTTGTAAATTAAATGTGGACGTTGACAAATGCTCTTGATAGTTTCTCATGTTCTGAATGCCCAAGAAAGGGACTGACTTCTGGATCCAATGTTGTCCTTGCTGAGATATATTGGTTATATCAAAGAAA